GCTAATAGGCAACTGGAGTGGGGAGAAAGATATCAAAACAGTGATTGACACAACAAATTTGTAATGTTTAACCAAAGTTAATTTGGAAATAAATGTTGAGTGCTGTAATCAGGGGTAAGATACTCTATGATGTGTGGTGGAAAAGGAGTTCAAATGGAAATACTGCAAAAGACAAAGAAAATGTAAATATTTTGGGAAAAAAAGAAACAGTTTGCACTACATAAACCTAATTAAGATTTAATGGACATAGGGATATTTCTAAACATACAGAACGGTATGATTTCTTTAACAGATTGAATCAGATGGTTTTGAAGGCACAAAATGAAAAGATTTCATGGGTAATCTGCATTGCAGCAGGCAGGAAGGAGGAGAATTGTTTAGGGAACGAGAATGGCTATAGGTTTTATTTTGAAATCATATTAATCCTAAGCTATGAGATCTTAAAAAATGAGATTTTATTATAACACTGCTCCAGTGTCAGATCTTAACTGATATACATAAACCTATCTGAAAGTCATCAGTACGGCTTTACTAAGTTTTGGTAGGCCAGGATTTGTCACATATATGCTGACTTTATAGAAATGTATTTTTAAATATTAAATAAATGCATAACTAGCATGAAGGGCAAGCAGGCACAATTTGAAAAACTGTGTTTTGGAAAGTAACAATAAAAAAAATTATAATAAAAACTGTAATCCTGAGCTTTAAAATCATGATGATTTTTCCTCCTTGCTTTTGCTTATTCTTAAGTCTTTGGGCCAAAGTTCCTTCTGCATTTGCAGAAGCTAGCAAAAATGCCTGTTGTTCTGAATTCAGTCAGAGCCCACACTTTTGGCTAGCTGAGAGCAGAAGATGATACAGCTCTTCAATTAGCACAACTGCCCTCGTCAGTTTGAGTACCTGAAGTTGCTTTGAAGAATCCTAAAAGAAGCTGCCTAGCATGAGTGTCCCCCAAATACTGATTTCTGTATACGGAAGAAGTGCATGCAGCTTTTGCACAAAGCTTTGGAGTCTACACTGTGAATGGTTTTAGTAGCAGTAAAGATCAGCTACTGTGAAATCCACCCCAAAAATGCTGGTTCCTAAATCTTTGATCTTTCAGAACAGGGGTGCTTAGTAAAGCAGGATATAGTCCCTCATAACCGAAATAAGACTAAAGGGCAATCATAGGAACTTATAGCAATATAAGTGATCCTCCCTCCTCGCTGAATGAAGTATCAGAGTTGTCATTATATGCATTACAAATTTAAAAGTAAATGATAGGACACAAAATAGTGACAGAAAAAGAGCTGCAATTTATTGATGAACTTCACCAATTGGTGAAATTTCATTTGTTCTGCTGATAACGCTTAGCTCTCAACTTCCTTTCAAGCATCACGTCTGCCTTAGAAATCCCTTGAGGTAATTTATATCCTGGGTAAATTACAAACTATTCCCTGGTGCCCATTTCTGACTTGCTTTTTTTTTTTTTTTTTTTTTTTTTTTTTGTGTCCCATTCTCTGAAATTGTATAAAACTAATCCATAGCTTTTGCTGTGAGTTATTAACGTGTTACTTCATGTGCTGTCTCACCTCATTATCTCCTTGTCTTGTCTGAAAAGCAGCTAAGTAATTGAAAATTGTCTGAAAGTACAGCTAAGAAATTGTCAGAGTTCTTTGTGAGCTGTCACGAGGTTTTCCATTAGCTTGGGAAGTCAGTGTGCTGGTCATATGAAACAGGGCTGTAGTTTGCTTCCAACTATTGCAACGTTAAACTTGAGAGCAGAGTTATGTCAATTCCTGTATAAAGCTTCCTCATTATTCTGAGTCCCTATCTAATTTTTGTATGCTAATTTTGCAGTCTGACCTTTACATGAGTAGACAGGTGGGAAAATGCATGTACCCTGTCAGCTGCTTAATGGTTTCCTAATCTGAATAGACTGTTCTGTATCAAGTGCACCATCTGGAAATACCCTTCTGCATTGAACTGCTCTGCATTTAAACAAATATCGGTGAGACTGTCTGACAAGTGAAGCACTATATTAAAGCTATACCTTTTTTGTCTGAAGGAAGTCTTAATTCCTGTATCATTTTTAGCCAAAAAAAGTGGATTTTCCAAGTTTCTTTCGTAAACTGACGCTAGCTGCTATGCAAATGACGAATCCCTGCTTTAATTAAGCCCTGAATCACAGTTGCAAGGGTTGTATTACGGCTCTGTACGCACACAAGTTGATTGTACACTAAGGAGCAATCCAGTTAGCCTTTCTGAGCCAGTAGGTTCATTTGGAGCAATTGTTTTTGAGGGACTATCCTTCTAAGTGTAACTGCTTCTGCAGCATGGCCTCTGCAATGCCTTCCAGTACCACAGTTTCACTGTGAAGTGCACAGAGAAGTACTCCTTCTTCTGGAGTGGGGTTCTAAAATGTTACGTGATCATTTTATTAGGTAATCATTAATTTCTGGGTTACAGTACGGAATAAATTCATTAGGCACTGCAACTGTGATGGTTAAAGCTATAATGTCCCATTGTACCAATCTCTTCAGCTAATGAGTCACGGCCTCTTTAGTCTCTCTGCTTGTAATTGTTTCCTGCAGCTGAAGACCCTCACCACATTTCTTGACTGCTTTTCTGGTTCTAGAGTACCCTCTATTTTTCAGTGCAGTGTCCAGAAGTACAACTGGTGTCAAAGATGGGAATGGTAGGATAGTGATGTTTTTGAGTTTTTGCCTGCTTTCATTATAATTCCTAGCATTCCATTTGCCTTTGTAAATACTGCTGGGGTTTAGAATGACATTTTTAGAGAACCATGCACAATGAGTCTAAGCTGTTTTTCTGGAGATAATTTAGACCATGATTATGTGTATGCGAAATTAGAATTGTTTTCCTCTGTGCGTATTACTTTGCTTGCATCAGCATTTAATTTCATCTTCCATTTTATTATCCAGTTGTTCAGAATCATGCAAGCCTCCTGTTCATTTTCAGTATTAAATTTGTATGCCAAATAATTTCATTGCATTAGCAAACATTGCAACAAAGTTTTACTCGTTTTTTAGACCTTGGCTTTTATCTTTAGTGCAGACCAAAGGTTGATCTAATGTGCAAGTGAATGAAATGTAGACAAAATGGTTAGGAGTTGGTTTTGGGTTTTTTGTTTTAAATTTTTGATTGAAACAAATCTTTCTGCCTTCTCTTTGCTGTGATGAGACAAATGGCTTTCAAATCATAGTTTAAAGGGCATTTTTAATTAGGTATTTTTTTGAGAGTCTGATTATGGAGATGTCATTCCAGCTATCTGCAAAATTTATGTCTGAGTTGTGGAAATGTAACCCTTGCTTTAAATAAAAGAAGAGCAATAAAATAAGACTTACTGAAGTTGGCTGCAAAGAATACTTGTTTACAGTTCTGGCCCTTTGTATTTCCAAAGGCCAAAGCTCTGGAGAATGAAGAAATACTTCTAAAATTCCACATCTCTCTGTATTTTGGAGTATTATTACCAAAACATGTTTGAATGTGAGCGCATGGATTGCTTTGGGCAGCTTAAAGACAGCTTTTGTGGATATACGTATATAAATTTGTAATAGGTGCACTTAACTGTTTAGTGTGATGTGTAAGAACTTGTGGACCTCCTTGCCCAGACAATTCTGGAAATCTCTCAAGGGACCTAATCCTATGAGTCTTCAGCATTTCAAGTAATCTGTATTTTCAGAACTTCAAGTAGACATTCCTACAAAATCGTTCCAAATTTCATGAGCTTGGTGCTGAAAGTTCCTCTTGATTTTAGTAAACCATGGTTCAAATTTATGACTGGAATTAAGGAAATTACTAGCAAAAATGAATTTTGAAGTGCTGAACGATGCTAATGTACACAAATTAGAGTTCACTGTATTGTTTTCATGTTTCGGAATCTCGTAAGTTTACCAGATAGCGTAGGGAGAAAAAAGCCTTCCCCAAAAGCCTATTGAATGTGATGGAAAATACTTTGTATGCTTCTGAAGGTGTCTATCAGACACTGAATCATAGTCGGAGTGATTATTGGAGGAAGAGCAAAGATGGACTGACAGGGCAAAATGGCCTTGTGGTTTCAGATTAGTCGCTAATGGCTTGGCATCTAGAACATACTCAGCTATGCTAAAAGTGAAAAACAGATTACGTAATAATGTTCTGCAACGTTTCTGTCAGTCTGTGTGCTCCAGAAAACAGCATTATGAAAGGATGATATTTCACTGTGCTAAGTAGAATGTCAAAGTCAAATGTGAAGAACCTTTATAAAACTCTTCGTACTCTAAAAGTTTTCCTCAATTCTGCTGTGCCATTTACACTTTATGGGCCTCACATCCTGGTCCTGCTATATCAAACTCTTTGGAGGAATTAAACATGTCTTCAGGTGCTTTGCTAGACTCAAATTAAGGCACTTCATAACATGTAATTTTAATTCTGGAGTAGCCAGTAGAACCTCTTCATTAAAGTGTACAGACCCAGTATTTGTGATGGCATAGGAATAGGAAAACTAAACACGTAGTTTGTGTAAACCAAGATACATTTATATTGTGTAAAAGTAAGCTTCAGCCTCTGGACTGGTTTATTACAGATGAATAATATGAAATACAACAGGAACATGAGCTCATTTCGTGTCTGTAAGCAGGTGAACAGGAAGAAAGATTTCCATGAAGTATAGAAGTACAAGAAGATGTGACCCTAAAAGATTGTATGATGGTAACAGTCTGAAACTGAACTTTTCCTGTGTTGCAGTAAGCTAAGATGTTCCATATGTAGTATTTATGTTCTATTTTATGAGTAGAGATGCAGCATAATCTTTTAGTTTAGCCTGGGTTTTGTATGTGAATTATCGTGTGCTTGTTAAAGGGAAACAGAACAAAGACGTTGCTGTTTATTTTTATTTTATCATTTACCTACCAAGCCAAAATTTTACACCATAACATTACAGGAGAGAAAAACAAAACCAAAGAGGCAGAACATCATTTACCATTTCTCAGATTAATGAAAACAATACGTCTCATCTTCTGTTCTTCTGGATCTTTTGTTTAGAATTGAATCAGATTTGCACTACAACAGAATAAAAATATTTTCTTCTTCAAGACTGGTTTGTTTCCTCTGGTGAAGATAAATTGTCAAGTGCTCCCACCTCTTCAAAGAAGGAAAACAATGAATTAGCAGATGTGTAAGTATGCATAATAACATTGTCAAGTACATCATAAGATCCAGTTGCAGTAATACACATTTTTAAAAATATTTTCTGTTAACTGTAAGTGGCAAATCTTTGCACTTTTGATAGGTTACTTTCTGAACTTTTTATTTCTTTTAAATGTTAACAGCTTGTTAAATATTGTAACGTTACTTAAAAAAAAAAAAAATTACAGTGACAGAGTGACACTACTGATATCAAGCTTCAAAGGTTTTAATATTAGTGACAGCCACATGCTGTTCTACTTCCAGATTTACATGGGCAAGACTTTAAAACTGGAGGGAGTAATTTTCAAGAAAAATGGCTGAAGCCACTTTTTGTGATCTCTAAGGCATTTCTTATAGAGATAATACCTGAAACAATCGCTTCATCTTGTAGATAAGTAGAAATTTGTATGTAATCTGAGTATCACCATTCCCTGATGCTGAATTCCATGAGTGGGTTCACACACCACCTTCAAAGGAACATACCTACTTGAATATATTTAATGTGGTAAGGTGACATTTGAGGGAAAATGTTAAAGCATCTCCACCACAGAGGTGTAGTATCAAAGTATGTTTTTCACCTCCAAAATTCATGGATCTGATTTGGTGTAAAAGTTTGTACTAGGTTTTGGCAATACCTGTTAGATATTAGGTTAGGGGATAGTGTGACAATATTCTTTTATAACCTGGGAATACAAGAACTATCTCAAAGAAAAGCCATTTTTATATGTTCTGGAGATACCATTTTCCTGTATTCCAAGGACAGATAACAATACCATCTTTTCTGAATAAAAGAAGGTGTTTGGCATTACTATGCTAAATAGGGAATTGATACTTACAGTTATTCTACACTTTTTTTTTCTCATTCGTCCCAGGGAAGAAATAATTTGTATTTCTATGAGATGCATTTTATTTTCTTGCCCAACAGCTCAGTAGGTCTTAGCCTATTCACCACAGTGGACTCTCACACTCTGCATGTTTTGAATTCTTTTTTTATCCAGTTATTGCTTTTGCTTCCCTAGGCTCAGACAGCAAGGTATGGAGATAAATGTCTAGGGCTCCTTTTCAGTGCTAAACAAGCTCTTTATTTATCCACAGTGAATATACATGCTAATAATGTTCTTTAAACATATGTATATATTTGAATTCTCTCAGGCCTTTAGCACTAGCTGTAAAGAGTTTTTGTAACAAAGGCAGATTTGATTAAGTAAGCATTGGGTTGTTGTTTTTAGTAGTGAAAATTATTTTGCTTTGGTGAATGCAAATCATTTAGAAAATTATGCCAGAGTGTCTAGAATTTTATTTCCTAGGCATACAGAAATTTCATAGGTCTATTGAATGTCTTTTTTTATAATGAAAATGATATATAACACCTTGTTTTTTCTTACTATTCCACATCATATTCTTACTATTCCACACCATATGCACACGACAAAATTGCTTATAATTTGTTGTATTCAAAGGGAAGAGTATAGAAGTTATAGATGGCCTGCTTCCTGAAACAGAGAATTCCGCAATCACTTGCAAAGAAAATATCTTTTTTCTCCTCATTATGTTCTTTGCAAATATACGTTAACTTCTAAAATATTTCCTAGATGGTTTTAGGATGGCAGAAGACATTTTAAAAAATGTAGTTGTCTTTCTTTGTGTGGAAGTTTTTTTTTTTTGAGAAATTTATGAAGAAACCAAGAATTGTGATTAAAATGAACGAAATCGGAAGCAGACAGAATTCTACTTTACCTAATGATATAATGAAACTGCTGTTCTGACAAGATCAGCTGTGAGCTCAGTTTTACAAACCTTGCCAGAGCTCTGTGACTTCCCATACTTTTGCCAGCAGCATTTTGAGCTGTTTGCTAACGTGCAGTTTAGTGTTTTTGCAACTTTATGATGTGGCTTTTGTGGAGAAAGCAAGGAGAAAGGGAGATGCATTTCTTCATTGCTAGCAAGTCTATCTGAATTTCAGCCAACTGCTCTTGGAGGTAAACTGAGCCTTTATTTAATTTGTTACTAAATGGTTTTAATAACTTGCGTATAATCAGACTGTATTTACTTTGTTTTCAACTAGCTGTGAGCTGGCTCAGAAACATTTTAACAGTAACTTATTATTTTCATAGTGCTGGGAGTAATCAAGTAGTACTAGAAACCTCTTGTGCTGGGTATCCATTCGCCTGCATTTTGACAGGACTGCTTGTACTCATGAAGTCAGATGTATTCCTAGATATGTTAAAGGAGAACTGACTTCCTCTCCCTTCCTCCCGCTCTTGCTCCCAGAAATACAGGCAAATCTACTGCAGACTTGTACATGCAAGACTAGTCCTGAATGTCACAGGAGAAAGGCCAACAGAAACAGATCTTCCGTGCTTCTGCTAAAAGTAACTGGATTTAAAAGTCATTCACTTACCTTTGAGATGCAAGTAAGTCAAAAATTCAATTATTGTGCGCACAATGTTTTCGTCAGCCAGTGGTCTTCCAAGATTTCCTAAAAAAGTAAATTGGTCATTACTGAATATGGCGTAAATGTATCTATTAATTGTATGTAACATTGTGACTAAATTCATAAGGATCCTGGAAAGACAATCTAGGAAAAAAAAAAATCCTTAAAATGGAACATCACTTTTCATGGAAGAGCAAAGCAACTTTCAGGTATGCAGCTGCAATTCTCAAAATGGAAATTGCACACTTTGTGTGCCATTGCTGCGGAGGAACTACTGTGACAGCTTAATGGTCATGATTCTTGAGGCCAGTGAGCCTCAATTGTAGAAGAGAGTTATCCTTTGTTCTCAACTCCCTCTTTTGTGTCTGCTAGCTTGAGATGAAAGGGAAGGGTCAATGTAGCAAATTCATCAGCTTTACAAAACAGTTAAAAGTTCTGCATGAGGTCTGACATTGTTCCCAATGAGATGTTAAGTGATACAGAAGTGATTTGTAGTCCTAACAGCTGGGTCTGGGGCTTATCTAAAAGCTCAGAAGGATGTGCTTTTGCATATGTATAACAAGTACTATTTACTCCCTTTAATCTTGTGCAAGTTGGCCTTTTGATACTTCTTAAACTGCTCCAATAATCAAGTGTTCTCAAAGCTTGTTGTTTACTTGGGAAAATGAGTTATATGTCTGTTGTGTGTATTAAAAACAAACAAACAAAAACCTAAAAAGTGGCGACATCTTGCTTTTTATCAACGAGGTGGAAGCTTCTTCCATATTAGAGAACAAATTGTAGTAATTTTGCAGAGTGTTTTAGTTCTCTACATATAGAAGAGATGGGTAGCAGAATCTGACTCACAGTCCATTATCACACTGGTGAAAATACTGTCCCTTGATGTTATCAGTGAGGACATGTTTCATCTCAGAAAATAGTCAGAAAGGCAGGTTTTGCAGCTGGTGAATGCTGGGGGAATTCTTCCATGACCGTAGAAATGAGTCATTTCTGTAGTGACATGCAGACCAGAGGGAGCTGTACAGCCCACATGAAAAATACTGATGGGAAATTGTAAAGCAAGAAAGTTTCTGATGTAGTCAGCATTTAAGGATCTGTGTGGAAGTTTGTGTTTAGATGTCTTAGCTTCCAGCCTTCAGATGGACAGAAACGTGTGAATTCTTATGTAATTAACATTTGTGTTTTCATTTGAAATTCTTTTCTTAATTTCATTTTATTCTGATCTCATTTGTTATGGATTTTTATGATGATAAATATGACCATACTAGTCATCATATTTTATTTGTCATCTGATATTTATTGCATATACATATTGCATATATATATATATGGGACTTAAGAGTACACACATTCCACTGAGTATATATGACTGATTTTGTATAGCCAATTACTTGCAGACTCTAGCAACAAAACAGTTGTTTGTTTGTTTGTTTTGTAGCTTAAGGTTTTTCCTTAAATGTTCTCATAGATTTTGGTAGGGTTTGGGGGCTGTTTTTTTTTTTTAGTCTAATATTATGTGACTAATACAGTTTATAAGCTCAAGTTTACCAGGAGAGCTTGCAGCATTTCTTGAAGAGAAAAACATCTAAAATATGGTTAATAACAGAGGCAGTTATATGTATTTTTAGGTCCCACCCAGACAGGTTTGGTTATGTTTTCTTGTAAGTTTGGGCATGCAGCAGTTCCATAGAGTTCCAAAATTCTTAAATATCATATAATTCAGTGAAGGAGCTGGCAGTTTATTCACAAATGGCAGCATTGCCTTGTGCACCACACTGTTAGATTGCAAATGCTGCCTGCCTTTATTATCATTTCTGATTGGTGAAGTATTACATTTGTACCGAAGTTGAGGAAATACTTCTTGTTTGGGTGTTGTTGTTTTAAAATATAACTACAAACCAGCACTAAACTGGCAGTCGTTTTGGAAACACAAAAACTGAGGTAAATATTAATTTGAGTTGACTTTAATTGACTTGCCTTAGTTTTTGGGCAAAGCCGGTTCTCTAGCTTTAGTAAAAACAAGGCAAATTGCTTAAATACAGAAACATTGTGAAACTTAACTTGGAGAGCTTATTTTAAATGATTGACAATCTTCTAACATAAGCAGTGCCATACAGTTTTAATTCAGTTGGTTTCAGCTCTGTAATATCAGAATCAAAAAATATTTGCCTGTTTCTGTTGGTTTCCCTACTGGAAAGAATGATCTCACTTCTTAGACAAAAATGAGCTCTTGATTGTCTGGGGTGAAGTCTGATATACTGAACTGTGTATGCAGAAAGAAAAAGCAATGTATTTAAAGTGTAATAAATCATACTGCTTTTAAAGTAATACAATTATGGCACTTTTCCCAAGGCAACAGAGAGTTTAAGCACACTTGCAGTCTGAGTGGGTGAAATTTAAATTTTCTTGCTCACCAATACTTAGTGGGATATCTGCAAAAGTGCAGGAGTAGCCTTATATCTAAGCAGTTAACTTAGATCAATGACAGTAAATAAATTAAGACATCTTAAAAAATCAACAGTACTAACTTTCAGAATTTAATTACCTGCTTTTATATCCTCATCAGGCTGTATTTCACGTTTACCAGTGAAACCATGTTTGTCATTAAAAGATCTGTGGTTATCTACTGCATCTGACAAATAAATTAGAAATCAGAGGAGTTAATTGACTTGGCAGCAACCTTTACCTCTCATGGATTTTAATGCAAAGATCACAATGAACACTTCTGTTAGATGCTTATGTACAAAAAAAAAAAAGTCACTAAAATAACCTTTCTTCCACATTTGTGGTTATGATTTTTATCATTTTCAGACTCTGTCCTGCATTACATGTACATACTTGTCAAACCTGTCACTGAATTCAATGGAAGGTCTAAGTAAAACATAAGTTTGTACATTTGGGTGTAATCTGGAAGGCTGTTTTTGCTATCCTTTCTCCTGCTATTGGAAAGTGTTGCCGAGGTGTTTATGTAAAGAACAAGCTGCAGATTTTTGAAGATTATTCATGTAAACTATCTTACATGCCCCTGGTGCCTCTTCTCTCCCCCTTGCAATGGGCATTTCCTTTATCATTAAAAGGTGATCAATACGACCTGCAACAAAGGATGATTCCTATTACCCAGTCTTAGATAAACGGCATTTGAAAAGCACATTTCCATATTTGTCAATTTGGTTAGATCTGCTGTGGGGCATACATTTGCAATGCCAATTAACACGCTTAAGATGCGTTAATCAGTTTTATGTATCCTTTTATGTGCTCTGTATATGGAGAGTTACAGTAGGTGCTGCAGCATTGGTCATGTGTCACTGAGACTGAGAATATACAAACATTGGTAAAAAGTGTAATTACATTAACTAGAAATAATGATGAAAGACAGATATTTGAGACAGCTTAGCACTGTATTTCCATTTTGCTTATAATGTACATGCATTTTCTTACAAATGCACACACAGCATCTATTTTCTTATAATCCAATGATCTTTCATCTTTGTGAACCAGTATGTGTGGCTGTATTTTGGATAGTATGTACCTGATGTCACACAATGAACTGTTAGGGTTACAGCCATGACTTTGCACTTTGTTATTGTTTTAATTTGTTTGGATTATTTTTTTTTTAAATAGTAGTATATTAAAGCCATTTTCAAACAGATTTTAACTGAAATCTGAAATAAGTTGAGTAATGCCAGAATTTCACATCCTGTCACTCCTCCTCTGACATCTGGGATGCTATGATGTCTTGTAACACTTCCAGGAAAAAGGGAAAAAAGGTAAAATGAAGTATTTGCCATATGGAAATTACAGATCAGTAACACACAGAGTGCCTCAGATGTGCATCTGTGTGTAAAGTCTCACAGCATGACTCTTCTGAAAACAATTGTTGCCTAAGGCAACTCAGCTCTGTAATAGGCACGTAATAAATATCTAAACAAGCATTCAGTCTTTGCAGGCTCAGTGTAGTTGTCACAGAAGTGAGTAGCACACAACAAACAAAAAGTTTTACAAGAAGAAACTTCTGAGTTTTGAAATAGTACGAGAAAGAGCGCTTGACTTACGTGGCCCAAGTAGGTAACCAGCACTGTTCAAAGTCCAGCCCCTTTTTTCTTTTGCCTCAAAGAAAGAAAAATGCAAGTAGATTAGTGCTTGAGCTACGCTCTGAAGGCAAGAAGGCAAACAGCACCCAAATGGATGCTCTCTTAACAGAAATGTCTTCTGAAGGTTTGAAATACAAGAAATATGGTGAGAAATAAATAATATAATAATATCAAAGTAATTACTACAGCTAGCTCCTGCCTCCTCTAGTGGTTTTGTTGTTGAAATCCATGTACTGCAAATATTTCACATCATATAATTGAAACTGCAAATCACAGTTTGGAGGTAACAATTTTGACTTTGCATTTTAAGTTTGCTTCCTGATAATCATTTAGCAAACAGCAAAATTGTAATTGCTTGAGTTTACGTGACAGTTTCTGTAAAAGGTCCGTATCTGATCTTTTCTGAGTCAGACAGGGATGGGTACCCATTGGATTTTGCTCTAGACCTTTGTTTCTTATTCTTTGTGACTTGGGAGCTATTATTCAAAAGCCTGGTATTTAAGTAATTAACAGCCCCAAATGTATGAGTGCTACGTCTTGTCTCACTGCTGTATCTCTAAACACAGGGTATATCGTGAAAGAGCTCACTGTCACTTGTCAGCTTTGGCACGGATGCTGCCCAGTGGAAAGGACCCTCACGGGAGATGAATACTTACAGACAAAACCAGTCCGAATGTTTCTGACAGGGCGGCACAAAGGATTAAAGACAGAAACAGGAAACCCGCACACCTCTGCATCTGAAAAGAAACCGCGCCAGGGTAAGCTTCAAGTCGCTCGCTGCCTGGCTTCTAGCTTGGATCCGCATAGCAGGTGAGCAAACTGGCCACTGATGAGGGGTGAGGATGAGCCTTCGTCCCGCGGGGCCCACACCCCGATTCCCTCTGGGGAGCGGTGGGACAAGGCTGAGAGGTGGGAAGGGACTGAGTACCTTGAGCTGGGGCACAACGGTGTCTCACAGGGAGCTGGCAGGTGGCGAGATGGCTGTCCCACGGCTGCTGCCGGAATGTCCCACGGATGCTGGGATGTCCCACAGCTGCAGTCCCGATGGCTGCTCCCCGTGGGCACTCACTGCATGGCCCCGGTGCACGGACACGGCTCTGCACACCCTCCCTTCGTCCCCTCCGCTCTTTATGGGCTGCGGAGCCCCCCCACTCTCCGCCTCCCGTGGGTCATTTTACCTCACCAACCCACTGCATTAGGAAGGGCAAAAATTATAGCAATTCAATTAGAGGCTTTTGGAAGCACGACGCAGGCTGCAGAGAGATAACTGTCCGGGCAATTAGCCATAATTAGGGTGGCCCTGGGCTAGCTGGCAGTGAGAAGAGCTCTGTCCTGGGCAGTCTGGCATGCGCTGCAGTGTGCTTATCAGTGGAGACCAAGCAGACGTAGCTGAATTCAGCTCGCTTTTCACTGAATCGGCTATGGAAGCAGAACTAAATACAAACAACTATGTGTGATGCCCACCAGCAAGATTTGCAGTGTTTGGGCATTGCATTTGGGAAGGCAAAAGACTTTACGCACTCCCCATCCCACGGTCCCTTAAAATGCCTTTGACTCGCATGCCTTTGCCCCAGCATCACAGCAAATAGAGCTAAAGATTATCAGTCATTGTACTTTCTTGCTGCTTTGGACTTCTTTGCTAGTTTTGGAGTGGGTCAGAAATATGTTTGTTTGTTCATCGCCTAGGTTGCAATACAGCAATGTTTTGTATCTGAGATATCACTTTTTTTCTTGTCCTTAAGGTCTTGCGTGAAGGATAGTAATGAAGCTCTCCCCAGTGACGAGGCATGCCTCAGCATTTTAATTACAGCCTGTGAGATTTCAGTTGTTTATCTTATTTGTGCTTATAGCCAGTGTATGTATGAGCAAAACCAAATTACGAGGCAAAGATCCCAACGTCATTTCCCAGTGTCAGGGAATATACCCTGCCAAGTCATATTTTTTCAGTGTAAGTCCCCTCAACTCTTCTTTCAGTATGAAGAGCCTAAGAGGTGTTGTACAGAATGTTATACTTCCAGCTCCTTTTTCTGAAGCTGCTTAATATCTTTGCAAACTTTTATAGTGTGTGTGTGTGAACTTGGATATAGAGTAAAGGCTGCTAGCAGGTAATACAATATCCTATCTTCTACTAGTTTAGAAGCAAATAGCATTTTTTACTTAAAGTAATGTAATGTTCATATTACTGGCTAATGGCAGAAGCTGTGTCTTGTAGCTTTGTTTTCCAACTTCTTTTGTCTGAAGCCACAGCATTGCAATTATCTGATCATCACTGAATTCCAGATCTAAAACTGCTTGAATGAAGTTTATTTTATACAGTTGTTAAATGCTAATGTACATAAATGGGAAGCAAGAAATTTGCTTTGTTTTGTATTATTTGTTGAGGATGTTCTGTCAGCTGTCACATTAGCCTTTTAATTCAGAATAGATAGATCTGGAAAACAGCACTGTATTTTTTTTTGTGAAGAGTTGTTTTTGTTTATCAAAAATGTACTTCTGAATGAGATTTCTTAGCTTTCTTGACATCTCAGAAGCATCTCTGAGACACAAAGTGTTTTCTTTGTGTTATTCGAGTGTAATTACAGAAATTATTAAAGCGAAGTCAGAATTTGCATTCAAGCAGTATTATAAAAATGTATAAATTCTGTTATCTTTGACTACTGTTTGTTTCTTAGTTCAAGATCTGGTGAAAAGTACTTGAAACAATGTGTGTTAACCTGTGTTTTTTATTCCAACTTTGCATCACAATTCTTGCATCTTGTCAAATTTCAGGGGCAAATGACCTCTTCATCTTCACTAGAGTCAGATGGAAAAGGAAGCCTCTTTGTTTACTCAAGCATTTAATCCATCACTTGCCCATTATACATTTTGTGTCAATCCATCTTTGGGTTAGTGTCAATTAAATAATTTTATCAGTCCTTCCTACAATTGATGTTCTCATTCCCACAATTTTCCCTGTTTTTTTTTTCTTCTTTAAGAATTCTAAATCTCGCTGCTTAGAGAGAATTAGAATTTAGTCTGAAGCCTGCCTTTTCTTGCTTAGCTTCCAAAATGGCCTTCTGCTCAGCTACATGGTTTATTTTCCCATTGAGATGGCTCTTCAGCATGCAGATTCCTCCACTGATGGATATTTGTTGGTTTCATTTTGCGAAGAAGTGTTAAATCCTAAGATAGTATGTGTTGAACAGCAAGAATTTCTTCTAGATGCAATGGATGTGGTAATATGATTTATTTTATTTTTCATTGGCAAAAACCATAAACAGCTATGAATGAGTGTTTATATAATGTTCTGGCAAAACACTAAAAAAAAAAGAGTGGATTTGAGGTATGTTTTGGCAGGAGCTGGAGATACAGTAGCTTCCTTCCCTGTAGAGCTTGCTGAGAGATAATAAGTGAAAAAGGAAGAAATCATTCTGCTATTTCTTTATTGAAGCTGTACAGCCTGGATAGAGGATATAGTAAATAAAACACTAGAAAATGAGTTTTTCTTCCCAGGTGGTAACAAGTGTGACCATACTGTTAAAGATCATCTTCAGGAATGTATGCAAAATCTCTAATTTTATATAAGCAATGAAAATGAATTCTAGACTTGAGAGATCAGTTACAAGACAAAATTGTTTCCCATATGGTGGTGTAATTCCAGCAAAACTTTGATGTTACAGAAAAAAAATGCTTTATTAGGGGGAGGCCGTCATCCAACTAACAAGAATTGATTCTTTTAAGAGCTGTGGAGATGTCTATCTCTGAGTCTGTTTCATTATGTACTAGTGGGCTACTGACTTGCAGTGCCACCAACAACTTGAGTTTTCGGTTTTTTTCTGCACTGGAAACTATTGTAGATTTTTAAGATTGGTGTTTTAACTCTGAGTACAGAAATGTACCATAGCTGAGTATGGAGGTCACAAGTGCAAGGCTTCAAAGGACTAAATCTAATTCTGAATGGGAAAGACATTTCTTTCCAGTCGAGTATAGACTCTGACAGCTTTGGGTATCTAGGAGCAATGAAGAATTCCAGATGCCAACAAGACTGTGAACAGCTTCAGTGATCTAAAAATGTAATGATAGTTAGCTGGTAAACAAAGGCCGTGTCACAGAGCAGCAGTATTGCCCCACTCTTTGATACCTTAGCTGCTTGTTATTAACCTAACAAGGCAGAAGCTGATGACATTGCATTTAACCTGAAAGTCATGTAGATCACACAACTGTATCATTTTTAAGGTAGCTTACTCTTTAAGTCTTTGAGAAACCTCTGGATTATTTTGCTCCTTCATTGTCTGGATGACGTGCTGTGTGATGTGGTTTAGTGCTGGTGGTGGCAGTGGTGATGAGGAGAAGGTTGGACTGGATGATCTTATAGGTCGTTTCCAACCTTGTGATTCTATGATTCTATGTGTAGAATTTGCTGCTGCTTTAATGAATATGGAACTGAAAATATGGTGGGGGGGTTTCTTTGTGGCTTTTTTTTTCCCTTAGGAAAAAGGTAGTAATAAGTGAAAGGTCATTTTCTTCATCCTTCCAGAGCTTTTACTATTGTTTTTCTCCCACTTTTCCAATTTGTAATTCCTGAAAAATGTAGGCAATTTTCACTGAGAGTATCTTTTACCCATTTTACCACCTGCAGCTCAGTGTCAAATAGAACTAAATATTATAGATATCTTCTGTATGAAGGGCCATTTTCTGTTCTGAATTACACTGATGTCAACTAATAATTTCCTGTTTTTACATCAATCAGTGTGTTAATAGTGCTATTATTCACACTACATACATCAATACAACAAAATTATCACATATTATATTTTTTAAAATGTTTTTTACTTCAGGATGCACATTGATTTTAGGCCACTTGTGTATTTAAGAAACAAACAATAGAATAAAAGGTTTGGAGGAATATTCTCAAAAAATATATGTTGCATGTTATTTTACATTATTACCTTATTGCAATATTGCATATTGCTATACACTCAATAATACTGTGTAAAATCTTGATTGATGATTCTTAAAGGGAAATCAAATATTTGTCAGATTTTAGGATTAGCCAACAGCTTCAAACCATTCAAGGACAGGTTGCCAGCCAATGCAATTACATAAGCTTCATTTCCTAAAGATGGCAGACTGAAATGGAAGCTATCTCGATGAGAGTTTATCTAATAACCTGTGAAAAGCCCTGAGATTCTGAAATAAATGGTATTTTCTTAGAATTTCTGTCAGGGTTTCTGGTTCTCTCAGTTAGTGGATCAATACCTGTTGCACATCCTACTGTATTTTCTAGTCTCCTGCATCCCCAGATTACTGCTAGTTGGGCAAAGAGGCTGTATGTAGTAGAGCCTCTGCTCCACCACTGTCATTTATAGGGCCCCTCAAGGAAGGGAATGGTTTCAGAGACACTCCCTGTCACTTTGTAAAAAATGAAATCTTGCATATGTTGCAAGTAACATTAGTTCCTTATCTGACAACAGCATTATAACTGTCAGAATTTCTGCAGTGGCTTTGAAATCTCTTAAAATTTACAAAGAAAACTTTCCAGAAGTGGAAAGGATTTGGCACGTTTGGTCTAACACAAGGAAATGTTAGCTGAATAGGGAGAGCTCCCACATCTTCTCAGTGGAAAAAGAAATAGGGAAACAGTAATGCTCTGATTTCTCTCCTCTAAGTCTTTTCCCCGTCACACCTGAAAACCTTCAAAACACCAAACCAACCCCAAAGTTTCCCAAGCCAAAATCGTTTCATCTCAGGCTTAAAACAATTCTCAGTGAGCCCACTTTCAAATGTAGCATTTCAGCTCTGATACAAGTAACAAATCTTACGGTCTGTTGAGATACGTGGTTCAGAAGAGATCAGGCAAAGCTGAAATTTGCTTTAAAATGATCTTTGTTCTCATTTCTGACTCAGGAGCAGGCAAAACTTCTGTTACGTTTGTTAGGATATATGCTGAGATCCTGATGTGTGCTGAGCACTCAACATTTCTGATTCTCAGTGGGAACACAAATGCTTAATAGCTTCCAAGATCCTAGCTTCCATCTAAACTTTTGACATATAGTTGGACATACTGGCCTTTTTTTTTTTTTTTTTTTAATTTGAAGATTGGATGTGGAGCAAGGGGGAGAAATGTCAGTATCTCTGTGCAGCATGTGCCATTTTCCATGGCTTTGCAGAATAAAAATGCCAATAATAGCACAGGATAGATTAAATAAGATACCCATGCAGTGGTTTCCTATCGCTGAAGATGAATGTCTATGAATTCAGTAAGGAAAAAAAAAGCTGCTTACTTTCTGTTTGAGTACATGGCTTTTTGTCTTTTGTGGGCACGAATAATGCTTATTCTTTGCAGCGGCTACAGAGGGAGCCCGTGCTCTTGATTTAGATCATTGCTCAGCCAGCGTGGGGTAGGCGAAGCTTATTTGCTTGGGAGAAATTAACAGAAGACTGAAAGTTTGAGGCAAACCAAAACCACTAAGCAAAGGCTATTAAGGTGCAGACAGTCTGTTAAAATGGTGTATTAGAAAAAGGCACATGAACAAATTCCCCAACAAATCTCTTAAACAGCCCTAGCAAGACTGTAGTAAATTATGGTCCAGATCAGACTGAATTTTCCATCACACTAACTTAATTTGCTTAGCACTGCCTCCCACCCAAGTTTTCTTATTACAGGAAAAAATGCATTTGAGAGTCTGAGATAATCGTGTTCCCCAAGAAAACTCTAGAGAATAAAGAAGTATAGGACATACAGGGTAGGAATCAGCTTCTTAGCTTGAGGAACTTACTTATATATGAGTTAGATATCAAGCTCCTACAATAGGTGGAGAGGAAATCAATACTGTCAAGAGTGACACCACTTAAGCTAATATAACCATCTATTTGTGGTTGCAGTGACCCATTTGGCTAACTATCCATCAATTGCAATAAAATGCTTGACATGTAGCTCACCTTTAGGGGCCTAAATTAATGTCAGATAATTGCAGCCACAAATGATATTCCTCTAAACAATAAGAAAATTGTTTGATTATTATCCCTGTCTAATGGGAATAAGTAGGACTGGATTAATCTGCAAGAAAAAAAATCTGCTTTGGGTGGCAATTAGGAAAGGCTTAATAGCTATATGGTAGAAAAGGACTCTTAAAAGCCTAGTATTAGGGGATTTAAGTGGAGGCTTCTATAGAGAACAGATTGAGGGAAGGTGTCATGTATAATGCAGGCCTACTTAATACTTCAGAAGTGAAGCATTTCAAATAGACAGTCTCTCCAGTCTGCCTGTATGCCTATCTGTGTGAACAAGACCTGTGCACAGCACATTTCTTACAAGTGTTTCTGGCCTATTTATGCTACGACATGATCTGCATTTGTTACTGCTGCGATTGACCCCAGCACATGCAGCATCTTTACTTGCCAGCTTCCCTTACTTGCCTTCTTAATCTCCTTTACTCTTCTTTTGTCATTCTTTTGCACTGCTGTAGAACCACTGCCCCTTTTCATACTCTCTGTCCTTGTCTCGTTTTATCTGTACTTTCTTTAGTCTGCTTTCCTGAAGGAAAATAGTTTATCAGCATCATTTTGCTGTCTTCTTTTTTCGTTTTGCCTCAGAGCATTTTGGAAAATGCTAGAAATGAAGAAGGCCGCCAACCTTAAGTCATAATCTGTAACAAATCAGGTTTAATTAACTTAATACTTCCTGAACTATTGAATTTCTTTTGATTTTCGTAGGTTGATACAGTAATTAAATTGGAAACAAGCTAAAGAAGTTGTCTAGATCAGCTTCTGTAGGTAGCACATCCTCTGAGCTCTAACCTCAGAGCCTTACCTGAGTTCTGAGTGTTGCCAAAGGTGGAAAGTCCCCAACCTTTGTGGGACCCTGCTCCAGTGTTTGGCTGTGCTCAAGAGGATTTTTTTTCCAATTTGCTTTTAGATTTATTAGAATTTTCTATGTTGCAATATCCTATCATTGTACATGTCCTAAACTGTTTGTAGCTGCAACAGGAGAAAGTCAGGTCACTGCTAGTGCTCTTTGACACAGAGTTCGTATGAAACAGAATGCATAGCCTCCATAAAGCTCCTCTTGTCTTGAGATAAATCACAGAATCACCCGGGTTGGAAGGGACCTCAAGGATCATGTAGTTCCAACCCCCCTGCCTAGCAGGGCCACCAAACATCCACATTCAGATCAGGTTGCCCAGGACCCCGTCCAACCTGGCCTTGAACACGTCCAAGGACGGGGCATCCACAACCTCCCTGGGCAGCCCGTTCCAGGGCCTAACTACTCTCCTTGTAAAGAACTTCCCCCTAACATCCAACCTAAATCTTCCCTCCTTCAACTTGGATCCGTTTCCCCTAGTCCTGCTGTTGTCACCCCTTCTGAAGAGTTTACTCCCCTCCTGGGTGTAGGTTCCCTTCAGGTATTGATAGGCTGCAATGAGGTCACCCCGCAGCCTTCTCTTCTCCAGGCTGAACAAGCCCAATTCCCTCAGCCTGTCCTCATAGGGGAGGTTGATAAATGTCAACAAAAAAGAAAGAAAAAGAGAAAAAGAAAAAAAAGAAAAAGCAAATACAGTGTTTTGTTTTGTTTTTTGTTCTGTTTTGTTTTTTGTATTAGTTGGTACCTGAATCTGTACCATAAAAGAAGTCAATGGGTTTAACATTTGAGCACTTTGCCTTATGCTATTTGAACATCAGCAATTATAACCTGACATTCTAAGAACCACGACTATTTTATATGTGACTGTGAATTAGCAGTCATTTAGTGAAAACAGCAGCTGTATTTTGGAATAGTGATGCTGAGACAAAATCTATTCCAAAATTTATTCAGGATTTCTCAGAACCATCTGTCATCCTGTTCAGCATTATGCCCTATGCCTAATCACTGTAAATTGAAAAATAGAGCCTCCTAGCTGCAGAAGATCTACGTATTTAATTGAATGGATTGTTGAAGATTTTATTCTGAATATAATACAAATTTTAAAAAAACAAAGATCAAGGCACCATCCAGCCATGGTTATGGGAGCTGGTTGCATTTTACCAGAAGTCTCGCAAGCAGTAACCAGCTGCACATGCAACTCAGTTATCTGTATTTGACTCTTAGATTCTAAATGCATATTTTTAGTTTGCTTATCATTACTATTAAAATTGCAGAAGGTGTAGCTTAAACATCTGCTAATGTTATAATAAACAGGAAAGTAATTACGTTTGTAGTTCTTCCCTATCTCTTGTCAAAAAATGTCCATCTGTCCTTCCATTCAATGCTGCGTATTTACAATTTCTTGTACTTACAACGGAGCTGTGTAAGACAAGAAGATTTTCTTAGCTAGCAGTGTTGAGAAGTATTGTTTGCTTAATCAGCCCTTGGCTCTCTATGAGAAGTTCTTGCAAAGAAGAGGCCAACAGAAGCAGATGTTTTTTAATGAAAGCAACTCCATTTTATTCTGTCACTTACAGAGCAATTAAGTGCTACCGATCCAATCAAATACAATGAATATTCAGTACCTCTTTAACATTATCAGCCATGTTATTGAACCAACTGAAAGCATGCCCCTGTGGCACAAAAGGATTATAAATAAATCCTTATTACATCCTTTCTTTAAAACTTTTGGTAAATGCATGTTGTAAGGGCATATACAATTTTCCAAGGACTGTATTTTTATAGTCTAATACTTAAGTAGACATATTTCCTCGTATACAATTAAAGACTACTGATATAATGCACAGAACAATTTCCAGTGATCTTTCCTCCAATGTTTCCAAAATTCTCACTATTAATATCTCTCAGGATTATATAGTGAGAGTTCTCCAGTACTTAATTTAAGCCCACAGAGCAGTCCTGAAGAAATCTTATCTGTTCTTATGAGAGTAAATATATCCTTTCACTTTCTTTTGAATTCCACCTGATCCTTTCAGTAGTATCTGGTCTCTTTTCCAAGGGCTATGCAGTAACAAAGGTCTATTTTTTTATTAGCAGTGCAGGCAGGCAGACTGTGATGGTCCATTTTCTCTTACTGAGTCCAGGAAAAAACACATTCTCTTTGCTTTGGCCTGCAGGTTCTAACAGATTTGTTCGGTTTACTTTGTTATTATCATCCTAAGAAATAGAAGTGAAGAAGCCTTCTAGCTGCTTCAAATTGGAGTAGTAGATGTCAACCTTTTAGTATCAAGTAAGAAAGAGTTTCATGGTTTCTACTTGTTTCTGCTCTCCATTGCCAAAGAAATGGGGAAATTTAGATCTTATGAGGGTCTTCTCTCATCAAAAGAAAAATAGGAAAGGAGCAAACCAGACGAATAATCTGGAGATTTTGTTGTACCTGAGGGATTAATGGCCTCCCATGGGGACAAAAGGCTCTGATCACTTGTATACATAGAACAGAAATTATTTATGCACTTCCTTGGCTCGGCTACACTTGCAATGTTTGATTAAACTTTATGTTTTAGGCAAACTTCCATAGTTTTTATACAGTTAAATATCAGTATGTTTATACATTTTTACAGTTAATAGCAGTACGTCTCCTTTATTTCTCTATTGAAGTTGCAAGAAAATAAAGGAAAGCTTCTTTGTGACCTGTAGGTCACATGAAAGCGCTGATCTTATGTGTATTATGCAAAAACTTGAGCTCTTTTTCTTCTGAATGCAGGGGCTTAATCTGTTGAAGGGCACATCCTGTGTAGGTTGATGCTTCATGCTCCTCTTGTCAGCTCCTACTCTGTAAACTCTTGGTTTTCATTTCATTTTGCTGACTTTTCTTACCATTCTTTTAATCAGAGAGATGATAGAGGTGACTGTTCTGTAAATACCCGAGATTCATTAACAAGAAGAAAAGCAGAGATAAATGCCTTCTCAAATTAAGATTTTCTTTCGTACATTGCTCAGAAGGCTGTCTGCTTAAGGTGAGTTTTTTTGGTCTTTTAAAGTCTCCAAAAGATGTTAAGGAAAGCACTGATTGTGATTAAAGAGCTGGCTTCTTTTTTGTAATATGTAGAGGAAATCAATAAAATCAAAATTTTTATTAACTGTAATGACTTCAAAAGTTTATAAAGGTAAGTGAATGGATTAAGTCCCATTGACTTTCTGCATTGAAGACTGCCAGAATTTTCTCTCCAGGCTCTTTTCAACAATGGGCAAAGAAAAAAGTGAAAGTTCTGGAGGACCTTTACTCTGGCAGTTCATATGTATTATTCATTGGAAGGCATGATTTCTTTGACCTGTAAGTCTCAGATGTCAGGCTATAGGAGGTGCAGTTTGCTGTCATTCTGTAAAGATCATTGTCTGCAGATGCAGAACCTCGTGTGACCTGTTCTTTAGAGACTGCTTGTTGAAATGTTTAGGTAGTAACAATTCTCATTCCTCTTTCCCAGATACTGTTGTGCAGCAGTGTTTTCCTTTCTTAAATCTGCTGTCCCAGAGAACATCCAGCATCACTATGGCTCAGCAGTGAACAGCAGAGGATCCCTTTGGAGCAGCTGGATCTGGCTGTGATCTGATGTGGAGCAGTGCCCTGTTACCAAATCTTGGCATGTAAGCCCACTACAGAGTAATATCTTCTGATTCTATGACTGGTTCCATCTCCAAATACAAAGGTATTTCTGTTTAAAAAAAAAAAAAAAAGTACATATGATGTACCCTTTCTGTATTATCAGACTTTAATAGAGCTGACACAGGGTAATTAACTCCTTCACTACAACTGAACCTGGCCTCTTTTTCATATCTTCATACCATTTTCAATCTTTATTTCTGTTTTTGAACTTTTGTGTGTGTCTCTCAAAACGTCTTCCATCAAGTAAAAGGTTATTTTAAAAACTTTGCTGTACAAAATATGAGATTGATGTATCCTGCTTTTCTTCATAAAGCATGGCTGAAGTGCTTTGACAGGAGTTGCAAACATTCAAAACAGTAACAGGCTGCCTTAAGAAAATAAGATCACAGAAAGCTCTTCTGTCTTGAAATCCCTGTCTCCTCTAAGTCAGGGCAGCATGCCATCTTCTTTAGCATGCGGACCAAAGTGTTTCCTGGAAAGAGAGCAGAACGATTATGCTTCAGGTACTTCCTGTAGAGTAGCATAGAAGAAACTCCAGCTGGTTTGGGATGAACTAGTTTGGGTGCTGAGGAAATGGTTTTACTGAGAATGCTTTTCTTGGAAGAGCAAATTATTTCTTGTTAGATTAATTGTATTAGAGCAACCGTGCTGTTACTGGCTCCTGAGCCATCTTAATCTCTCTGTACACTAACTGCAAAAGCTGGCTTTCTTTCTCAGCACTTCATTGTTGCACTGAAGTTACAATCACGTCCTGGTTAGCAATTTGACTTCCTTCTGTCAAGGCACACCTGAACATAGAGCAAAATTTGGAAAACGATTATGTCCTGATAAAATGAACTTTCTGATTTGGAAAGACTGACCATGATAGAGATGCTATTCTATGGTCTTGTCCTGTTCTTAGATGGTTTGCACTTACAGTTGCTAAAGTTGCTAGACAGATAAAATTTGGAAGCTAAACATAAGAACAGATAAATGCCTTCTGGAGAGATTCCATCAGGAAATATCTTTTCACATAATTTTCTTTTAATGAAGGAGGATGGTGGTGTTTCATATGGAATTCTGATTTCTGAACATCTTTTATCTGTTTGATCTGACACTCACCTATGGTCAACCTGTGATTCTTTCCACTAAATGTAAGGAAAAAAATCATCAAGACTAAATACAGGAATTACAGAGTTCAGTCTCATCACCAGGGCAATAAAGCAGAACCATTTCACTGTCTGTCTGCCCCTCCTGTTGCTTTTGATGACGTATGTCCAGTTGGTACCAATACTCTGAGTTTCAGCTGGAATTTCTATCTGGGCTGTTAGCGTTTTCAGGATGGATGAGGAAGGACTGAACAAGTGCAGTCCAAGCAGATTGGATTTGCTTCGTATCCCTACAAATGGTGGGGCTGTGGCAAGCTGCTGCATTCGTGTGTGAGAGAGAGAGAGAGAGATGTTGTGCATCACACACATAATGCACCAAAACTGCAAGCAATTTTGCCTGCTGCATTTTCAAAGGAGAAGGGAAGAGGATTTCATTTTAGGTATTCACAGATGAAAAGGTATTCCCAATGCTGTAGCTGTGACTCTCAAGGATTGGCCTGAAAAAATAATTGTTTTTTTTTTTTTTGTTCACTGTATAGGTAGATGTGGATCTTTTTTTCCCAAATTAGGATCCAAATTTTCACAGCAGATCTGCAGAGATATACAGGACTTCCAAAGCTGGAGTTGTCTTTGTGAAATACATGTGTAGTATAATAGTAAGTACAATAATATGAAGCAGGATATGCATTATTTCTGTAGTTAAAGGTGTTAATGTATTCTCATAGAGTTTTATTAAATGAAGTAAGAAATTAATGGCAAATAATTGTTATATTTTGTAATGCAGTATGCTGTGTTTGGAGTAGTTGGGTGGAAGGAAGCACTTTTATTTAAGGCAGCTCTCAGGTGCAAAACCATCTGACCAGAGATGCAGACCAAGAATCTCAAAAGCAACAGAAACCTTTGCTGTTATTAAAAGGAAGGAAGTGAACACATTTCAGTACCTGCAAGTAGTCAGAGAGAGAGTGGTGTGGAGGACTTGATCTCCAGTAGGTTTTTGAGCCTGGACTCAGACTTCAGCTCACTTGTTTGAAAGTCTGTTTCATGATAGCGCTGTCACATCAGCCAGGTTTTTATTAAAAAGGAAGAAGCAAAAGCAGTATCTCATGAGGCTTTCAGGTTGGCATCTCTGGAATTATCACACGCTTTTATTACATAAACACTGAGCAAAGAGTGATAACTCAGCAAACTCCTTTTATTTTCCATATTGCTTCTGATTAGTTTCTTGTTTTGATATTGAATGTTACCTTAACCAGCTTTGTACTTCTGAAAGGAAAGAAAGCATTGGAAAGTGTAAAGAAGCACAAGTTAATTTGGCTCTATCACCTATTTTCTACCTTGCCATATTTCATTCTTTTATTATCTCCATCCAAGTGTATTTAATTTTGTTTTTTCCCTGGGCAAATAGTAAAATCTACTTTTTCAAACCCAGGTGTACCCATAGAATATGCTATCAAGTCCCTGATTTTTGTGATCATTCTGTTTCCTGAGAGTTACTTGGGGTTTCTGTTTTTCTCAAGGAGAAGGGAAACATTTATTCCACTTGCCAAGTAGGGAAAACCTAATTACCTTGTTGAACAACCACCTGAATGGTAGTTTACAAGTACTGTTCTATGAGCATGTTTTATCAGCTCTCACCTCTTGACTAACACTGCAAGAATGGCCACAGAGAGTTTTATGATTTGTGTTTTCAGTTGGCAATAGAAGTAAAGTAAGAGTGATTTGTGACTTCTTTGGAAGTGCTATTGCAAGCTGTTTATAGGTTCAAGAAGAGATCACTGCACAGATGGAGATGTCTGTATGCAAAATCAGAATTCATTTTTGTAACAGGTGACTTTCATACTATTTCAGGTTGGTAAGTACCTGAATTGGGAATCAGTAGATTCTCAAGAAAGTGTTTCTGAATATTAAGTCAGCACTTTCTCTCCCATCTGACAGTATGAGCAGCTATGGTCTTGTCTTAGGAGCCTCAAAAAAGAACTCAACAATTTGCTTAGTATTTTTTAGAAAGATTCTATGTTTCACAAAAGTATAAGTTTGTTCTTCAGAACATCAGCCACAAATTCTTGTCTTCATAAGCTAGCCTTCATAGTAACACTATACTTTTTTTCTTTTGCATAGAATATGAAAGAACATCAATTCTTCACCTGAATTGTAATAACTTCAATTTACAAATGTTGGGCTAAAATGAATGGATACTTTTCCTCAGATTAGTTCCAAGATCAGGTATGTCTTTGCATTTTATTGTTTTTCCTCTCTTCTTTTCCTTCCTCCACACCTTTCTCCTCTCTCCCCTTTCTTACAGCACCGCAGTTCAATTATTACTGAAAATTTACAGGCTCCTTTTTCCCTAAATAATCAAATAAAGCAAATCAAATAAGCCAGAAAAAATCAGAAATATGCCTGGCAGACAGCTAGCCTACTAGTTTTCTTGTGTAATTGAATAATATTTATCAAATAAGCTTTGCATATACTGGAAAAAAAACAAGAAAAATTACAGACAATTAAAATACTTATGCCTGTTTTTCATTAGGTATCCACTGTCTTGAAAAGGTAAATGTGCATTAACACTTCAAGAGGAAAATACACAATTTCCTAAATGTTTTTGTGATAAACACTTCTCTCAAGGTATATTTTGCTAGCATGATAAAAATAGCAATAATTTTATTCTGTTTCCAGTTTATTTTTCTTTATATGTCCAGGATGCCATCAATGCATCTCTGTGAAAAGAGTTTTTATCAGTAACTGCAGCATCTGGCATCACCCTCGTGATTGAACAAAGAAATGAAATGCTGTGGGCGGTCAGAAGGGCTACCAGTGCTGGTGGGTAAGGACATCTGCACAAAAATAGACTCTTGCTTTCCCATCTGTCATTTGCTGATCAAAATGGTTTACTCCAGTCTTTGGAAGTTGGTGAATTTGGACTCTGCTGAGGGTCACACGAAGTGTTTCATCATCAAAGTCCCAACACAAGAAACCCTTACTTAAAAAAAGCAATGTTTTGATGGATTTCTCAGTTACAAGGCGATATTCTGTGAGAAGAGTGGTCCCCAGTAGGAACCAGTAAATTACTTTTAAGATTGTGGATGGTTTTTTGAATTAGGAGCAACAGGTGGTTGAGCAAAGGTGGTTCCACAGAAAGATGGGAAGAGAAAGTTTCTGCTGGTAGGCTGCTCCCTAGACTCAGGAAAACCACATGAAAAACTTTCTTTCTCAAAATTGGGGAAGAAGAGAGGAGCAGGATTTATTTTGCTTACCAACATGCAAGCAAGTGGCATGTGAGCCCAGCAGTTGGGAAAACACCACCTCTTCAATACAGCTAGTGGGCATTAGGGTGCAAACTGTAATGTGACTTGAACGACTGGTTCTTATGTAAGTACCCACATGTCAGACCTTGCCTGTTTTATGGCACAGGGATTGCACAAGGCTCTGTTCTATTCTCTATAATGCAGAGATGATCTGAAGACATTTTTAATGATGTCTGCTCAATACAGGTAACTCTTGTGTCAAAGTAAATTCCAAAAACATCCCAAAACAAGCTCAATATATTTCAGTATTCTTAATATTTAGCTGGTGTGGCTGATAGTCTGCACCCATTTCCTGGAGAACCTTGTCAAAAATATTTGCTCAGTTCACATAAATGTAGTTTCCATTCAAGAATTTCTGCTGGCAATTGATATTCTGGCACAGTGTATTAGCTTGTTTCTACCTGGAGCCCTGCTGAGTGGGACTCATGGCTGTTGGTTGCTATAGGTTGCTATTAGAACAGTCTAATAGTTTTGTAAGTCAGTAGTTATTTTCACTCAGAAATTCAACTCAAATATGAAATGAGACTTAGCTAAAGGTGGAGGATGATGATGGGTTATGAAATGTGGTGCCTGAAAAGCTTCTGGTTCATAATTTTTCAAGTCTTGTGTATTAAAATTAAAATAGCATCTATTTTAGTCCTACCAGCAAACAGCTTGCCAGTAAATACTTGCTGAAATTCTGGGTGTTTCAAGAGCCAAATCTGGCCATAAGCAGCAGGAAGAAATCATTGTAAAATGCAGGGAAGACGGCGCAGGTGCTTCTGCTGTATTGTTTAGCAGGAGACACCCAAATGCATTGCAGAAACCTGACCGTGCTGCAAGGTGAACTGAGACAGGTGTTTTTCATCTTTTTCTACTTGAAGAACCAAAATGCCTTATTTTTGGACTGGGTCACCCCAGGGTTGTTCCCCACTGTTCCACACTGTCACCTCCATAAGATGAACAGACTGATAACTGTCCCATCTGTTAAAGGACATTTATGCCTTTGATTTGATTCTATGAATGACTGTTTTTTCATCTTTATATTCATTTACCACACAAGTGAGACTGCGAGAATCAATAATAGCTTTTCAAAATACTTCTGCAGAATGTTCCTGTTGACTAAATTTTGTTAGTTGTTCACCTTGTCATAAAGTAAATCTGCTTGTTAACGGAGAAACCATTACCGTAAAGTTAAAAGAGCTTATTTTGTGCTCTGCTAAGATTGCACTGAATTGCATCTCTGGAATAAAGCACAGATGTGGTTTCAGATTTTAGACTGTGACTGTTAAAAATGCCGTGTTTTCCCTGGCCCCTTTTTCATTTGTAACCCAAGTACAAGAAGACAGCTAATGACAAAATGCTGGAAGATGCACCATTAACTGCACAGGCAGCGGTGACTTGCCTCGTATTACCTAGCTCTCTTCACTGCACAGATCTGATAGTTCCTGCGTGCACAATGCCAGCAATTACTGGAGTTGCTGAACTCTAAGAAAAATGCTTATCTTCTGAAATGGCAGCTCTGCCTTCTTCTGGTCTGAAGCCCAGATGTTAGAAATAGGCAGATCATTTTCTGCTCTCCAATTTCTCTCATAACAGAAATCTTGATCTTGGTTTCAGAAATTGTTACCATATCTTTAAAGCGCATCGCATTTATCTGTCAGTTATCACTGCGTGGTCTACAGATAGAAAATGACATTTGTAGTTTATATAAATGGAATTTACTCATTTTAAGTATATTTATGCTTAGCTTGCTTGCTTTATTTGCTTTTTATTCCTGCATTAACTCTTATTTGAAGAATGTATGTGATATTTAGGGAAATTTTAATGATTTCAAAACCATTTCAATATTTAGATGCATCTAAAATATTTTTTATTAGCCTTCTGTGGATGAAGACCTTTAAAATGCAATTGGTGTCAGCCACAATGCCTTGTGAGTCATTCTGGGCTATTAAGAAGCATACTAATCATTTCTCAAGCCAGCACTTCTAAAACAAAGTCCTAATTCATGGACTATTTGGAAAATGTTAAATAGTAGAATAGTCTTCATCAGCAGACTAATCCCACTGTAAGCAAAGTGGATTACCTTTGTCTGTAGGCACATCTATGTATCCTTATCACTTTGTTTTCTGCACTCTGTTCTACTGTGCAGTCTGGTTCCTCAGCCAGTCTTCATATTGAATTTTGCTGAAGTAGTTATAATAGTTATATAATTATTTATAACAGTTAATATTAACTCTGCAGTTCATGAAATCGTTCGTAAATGTACTTCCATCACCTGGCTACAGGATGCAGCCCCATTGCCTTAGGCTCAGATAATACTTCAGAAAAGTGTGCATGCTGTTAGCGCTCCTTTTTTAAAGTGAAAAGCAGCAACACAAAAAGAGAGAGATTGTCAGAATCAGACAGAGGAGCATCACTGTTCTCAAGGTGATACAGATTTCTCCATTCCTCTCTCTGGATTCCATCGCTATCTAGACTGCAGGTCAGATGCTGACTTACTCTGCCTCTGGTTGATCTGTCATCTGCTGTTGTACCTGCTCTTGAGAGCGTATTTTCTTGCCAGCCATAGCTGTCACCCTTTTATCCTGTAGTTACGTCTCGAAGAATTAGGGACATGTTAATAACTGGTACGATGTTTCCTAGAAACACTTTTTATTTATGGTTACACTTACACAGTTACACAGTTTGCATGAATGCTATACAAAAGATGCTACCAAAAAAGCCAACAATTTGATGTTTTTTTGACTTTCCCAATCAATTTTTCAATGTGTTGTGGCTGTTAAGGAATTCGCCCTCCTGCCCTCCTGCCTTTCACCCTCAGAAATACCTTCAACTCCTCAGAAACGTACTTGTGGCAAAGGAGACAGAATGCTTAAATAATGCTTCTGTGGGTTCATCTTCGTAACCCACACAGTGAGGTTCATTGTAACCCACCCTCACCATAGCTGTTCCAGGGATGTAGGTACGTGTGGATTCTATCAGAACATCGGGGTACTCTCTGTAACAATGTTTGGCTATTTATCACATAATATGGAAACGTTTCATTTCAATTAAACATCAAGATATAAGACTTCTAGGGAGACTGCATCACAGATCAAAATTCGTGAAGTAATTTTAACAGGAAAGAATTAAAACGTAGATATTTGCAGCAAACATGCATTGGGTGAAGTAGGAAAATTATTGTTGTGCAAAGCTTGGCTTTGTGTAAGTGCTTTTCTAACACAGAACTTAACAGAAAAATAAGCAGAAAACTGCTCTTTATGTGCTCTTTGCTATAGACTGCATCATGAGGATGTAGACTGTATTATTCATTCCAAACAGTGACCAGTATTTAGAGTCTAAAAGGGGACATAAAGCATGGGAAAAGTTTCTTAAGGGTAACAAAGTGTTTTTCAAATAGTGTTAATGCCAACCTGTCTGTGTTTTGGCACATTTAACTTCCTGTTGCGATGGTACGACTCAGCCTGAGTAGCTACAAAACTCAAATATAAGGAAGGAGTGTCACGTGCCACAAGTTCTAACTTTCAAAATACAATATTTCTTCATCTGCAGTTGGCAAAAGCAACCAATAGCCATGAAAGGGCTGTAGCTCAGTGAGGAATTAGAGGGCTCTAAAGTCAGCTTCCACTTCCAAACTAATATTTATCCTTGCTGACATAGTATATGAAAATACAGTAATAATCAAGTAGTGCTGTGGGCCTCATTCCCTCTAGCTGGAGGCACTGTTGGAATGCTATTAGTATCTCATCTGATAAATCTGAAACCAGCTCATAGAAAAGTTCCATTTGTATTTTAAAATGTCCAATTATGCCAGTATTTCTGTGATTAATACACAATAGGGCTGTTTACACAAATGAGAAATGTTCTACATTTCGAGCCCTCCTTTTAATACAGATTTGGTTCACAGCTTACTTTTTCAAGCAGGCACCCGCAGTTGATCTGACTCAGAGAGACAGTAATAGATGGCAGGAGGAAGGAGAAGAAGAGGATCCTGCTCCTCGTAACCCCTGCTGGCAACTGTGACATGTGGGCTTCCTGAGCTGAGGAGGATTTCTATGTAGTGAAACCTGATGTTTTCATTAGCCTTAGTTTGCATTAACTTTTCCAACCACTTTTAAACCTGTCCAGGCTTTATATAGTTTACAGATTCATGGCTTGGTAATTAATTTCTTGTGGTGCAGGAAATCCATCATTTCCTCTCTGTGGTTTTCTCTGTCTTCATCATGTTCCCAGTCCCTTTTTCCAGTGCAAAAGACAAAAGACCTTTTGCATATGTGTGTCTTTTACCTTTGTTCATCTCAGCCATTGGTACTTTTATTGTTATTCCTTCTGTGTTTGTGGGGAAGCAGTATTCCAGTACAGATGGATTCAGGGAGTTAAGGTCCTTATTTTGTTTCTGGGAAGCTCTGAAATCCTTCCAATGTTTAGACTGCTACCTAGCATAAAGTTGCTATTAGTAAAAAATAAAAAGTAATTCCAAGATTTTTGCAGGTTTCACTCTATGTTATCAGTGCTAAAACCCCAAGCACACTGCTTGGAAATTACTGACGTAGAACTTAGTCTGCCATTTTACTGACCGTTTTTATTCGGTGTTGTGAAATCTTTTTCCAACACTGTGCTGATTACTTCCGAGTTCACTCTTCCATTTCAGGTTAGAGGACAAAGCTCCC